TGGCCCGGTGAGTCCTCAGGCCGGCCGCGGCCTGCTGCAATCTCCCAAGTGGGAGCACGGCCACAGACGTCTGGTCTCTCCAGCGGCTGGTTCTCAACTGAGCTCTGCAGGCGGGCTTTTATGCTTCCAGGTCTGCGCCATGACTTCTATGGGGCGGGCGCAGGACCCAGTGGCTCCACCCACGTTGGTGTTAGGGGAGGTTCGTCCCTCAGCGGGGCTGTGGGGTATCCCACCGCCTCGCTACAGTAGCATATAGACCTATATTAGTGTTTGAAAAATGTAAGTATTGCTGATGCTGTGTAACTGTAACTAGAGACAGGAGTACAAATGTGCATATTCAATGCTTAGAATGGCAGAAAGGGGATTTAGAAAGTAAAAATCTACCTAACTGAGTGTTTTTCTGCTTTAGTGGAGCTTGCAATGATAATGGACCGGCTGTATGGAGGGGTATGCTATGCTGGAATTGACACAGATCCTGAGCTGAAATACCCAAAAGGAGCTGGGCGGGTTGCATTTTCTAATCAACAAAGTTACATAGCTGCTATCAGTGCCCGCTTTGTTCAGCTGCAGCATGGAGAGATAGATAAACGGGTAAGGGCTAAAGCACATTTTGTTTGTTCAGTGTCTTGTCTAGAAATGTATTGTTTCCATGTAAATATCAGTGTTTCATTGTGAAGACTATAAATGTTACATACAGACTTTTACTGCATGCTTAGATTTAAATTGTGCCATGCAAGCACAGTCCATGGTGCACTGGGAGGTAACCTAGAGGAAAAAAGTCTCCTTGAACTCCCTGGCGCACAGGGGGTCGTGCCAGGTGCTATACCCCTTCAGAAGGGTACAGAATACTCCCACTGCGAGGCTGTCTGACTCTAAAGGCTGGGGCAGAGGGATGGACTGAAGCATTCTTCAAAGAGGGAGCAGTTCTTGTTCTTTCCCCACCTCCACTGTGCACCAGCATAAAGGGATGGGTAGAATCTGTTGCTGGGTGGGTGGATGTGTGTGTGTGTGTGTGTGTGTGTGTGTGTGTGTGTGTGTGTGTAGTAGTAAATAGTCAGAGGCCAGAAGGGACCACCAGATCATTGAGTCTAATCCTGGCAACCCATGCGTCAAGGGAAGGCAAAATCCCTCTAAGGTCACTTTGAATCTGATCTGGGGCAAATTCCTTCCTGACCCCACATGTGAGCTAGAACCAGCTAGCCAAGCACCTGAGAGAGACTGCTCGGTGCCGCCTCAGAGCACTGACCTACCCCATCCAGTGTCCATCTCCAACAGTGACCATCTCTGGTGCTTCAGAGGAAGGAGACCAAAAAAAAACACCCCACCCAACCACAGCAAAAATACGTTGAGGGGAGAAAAATCCCTTCCTGACCCCAGTAGGTGACTGCTGAGGCAGGAAATTTTGGGAATGTTCCCATAGGAGCATCATAGGAGTGCACTGTACAGCATACTGTAAATATTCTGGTATAGCCTCATAACCCCTCCCCACCTGCCTTAGCAGTTTTTAGTATTTTGTCCTGTCAAGTTAACTTTTTAAAGGAGACAATTAAAGAAGGAGCACAGTTGTCCTCATTCTAATATACCTGAAATTAGTGTGCCAGTTGTATCAACACTGTGTGCACCTCTGCCTGTTGTCTCTGCTTCATGTGTAAGAAACCCAGTTTGGTCATCTGAAAGGCTTCAGTGTTCTGGACTATAAATGAAACAGACTTTCAGGTCATTACTGCCACTCTTTGCTCCATTTAGTGCTACATCTCCAGTTTTTCTTTCTGCAATTGGGTAGTCTCTCATTTTCTCTTTGAAAAACTTTCTCTAAAACTCCAGCAGTCTCTCACTACCGTTGGATGACAGAACTGCTCTTATAATTTTACTTCCACTCTGGGCTCAAAGTCTGTGCAGACAGGTGATAGTCTTTCAGTGATTTGAGAATGGAACTGGGAATCAGGAACTCCTTTTTCCTAATATTAGTTCTGATCTGGATTCCGTCTATGGTTTTGAACAAATCTCTTATGGCCCATTTATGCAACCTCTGCTTGCATAAGTGAGAATGTGGGTGAATAGTCCAACTGAAGCCCATGGGACTGTTCATCTGAGTAAGTCCTTGCTATTATGAATCAGGATTTTACAATCCGGTCTATCACCTCTGTCTCAGTTTCTCCATTTGTGATTAAAAAGAAATGGGGGGGATGATAATAGATGCAGGGAGGATTCATTCGAAGAACTCTTTGAATGTGCAAATGGTAAATAAACTCTGAATGGTATTGTTACTAAATAAAACTAAGCACTGCTAGACTTCAGAGATGAGCATCAAAACATTCATCTTCTTCCAGATACACAGTACTGAGTAACACTGACTGCATATTTATGACCCCCTCTTGGAACCTGGAAAGGTTCTCCCCATTACTCCTTCACTTAAGAAAAAGGAAGCTACAGAGTGTCAATAGGATTTTCTTCCCCAGCTTTCTGTGTCTAACAATGAGAGTGGCAAGAATATAGTTGACATCAGTTCACATCCTCCCTTCACATCTTCAAAAGTGAGCTTTTTGGCTCTGTGCTCACTTGTACTAATTTCTCAAAATGAAACTGGCAGTTCTGCTGGCTAGTTAGATATAGATTAAATTCTTAGTGGTGACTGGCTTTCCTTTGATGGCGGGGGGGGGGGGGAACCACA